ATTGCTCCTTTGAGGCTGTATAGAACAGGAATCAGATGCAGGCTGGCATGGTCGTGTCACTTCATTACCTGACAGCACAGGTAACAAGCTTGGGGGAAATCTAAGCATGGTTACAGATATCAGCCAGTAGAGTTTGGTTCCCTCTGGATGCTACCGCAGATTAGAAAGTAACTTGACAAGAGGTTTAAGTGAAGGTTTTGTTCTTGTTTTCTAACACATGTCGATAAGTTTTCTGAGATAACTTGCATCTCTGTGGAGTAAATCCTTGAGAAAAACCAGGTAGGTGCCTGGCTGCTGTCAATGTGCTGAGGAGCAGATTGCTTACCCTCCCTTGCCCTTCCGAAAATATCTGCCAGGAAGTTTAACTGCATGTTAAAGGGCTAATGGTGCCAGCCTCTTTGCTGTTGTTTTCAAGGTCAGCTCTAAATGACCTTGCTCTTGCTTCATTTAGTTGCTCACATCATTTCCTTTTGATTCCCTGCCTGTGCTCTCATTGTTGGGATTTCCTTGTGTTCCTGCGCTGTCTTTGGGTTAAGCCAGTTCCCGCTTACTTCCTCCCTTTCTGCTTGTGCCTTCCTCTCCTCCTCCTCCTCTCCCCCTCTCTCCTGCCTGTTCTCTTTTCTCAGGACTCACTCATTCTCCTATGCCTCATTTATTATTTCTCCATCCTGAAATATAGCCCAGATCCCCGATCTGCAGCTCCATGGCCCAGATGCCCGCTGTTTTCCCAGCTAGCTTTCAGGAGCAGCTGTTTCACACAGCAGCAGATTACTCCTGCGTGGTGGGAGGCGGCTGCTGTATCGAAGCTTGAGGAACCCAGGAGGAGCTGCTGCCTCTCCTGGAAGCAGCCCGTGGGCTGTATTTCAGCTCTTCAGGGGGCTACAGGCCTTCCTATGGGCAGGTTCATGCCTGGCACAGCATTAAGTAGGTGGCTCATCTCCATGGGAGCCATAGGAAGACACCCATGTATGCAGAGGCAAGCTACAGCTTGATGGTGTAAAGCCAGCAGCTCTTCTACCTGTGGCTCTGGAGTGGCAAAATACCACTTAGCAGATTTGTCTTGCTTCTGAAGGAGGTGTTGGCTCCTGGCTTTGTTCAAGCCACAGCCCTGCTTGCCTGCTAGGGTAGGATCTGTATGTACACCAGGTGGATGCCGTGCTGCATGAGAGCTGCACAGAGCCAGATTTGGCCTGATGTGCTGAGCCCTCAGGATGTCTATAGGGAGTTTCAAGCAGTAGGAAAATGAGATCCTAACCTACTCAGCGTGTGCCTGTATGAAAACGCCTACTGCTAAAAGTTAAATAACAGCAAGTGTGCATGATGCAGAAGCAGACCATGAGGTTTTCCAGTATGCAAAGGAATCTGCTGGTGTTTTACACTGCTCCCATTGCAGAGAAGTTCTTCTCTGTGGTGTTACTAATTGCAATTGATAAATCGATACAGTGAAGCCACCCGATAACTTCATTTTTTAAAAAATGAGAAAGTCTATTTTAATTACATTACCCAGCTCATTAGAAAAATGTATGTAATGAGAGGAGGCCAGTCTGTGCCACTGCTTTGACGGCCCAAAGTCAAAGTTCCTGGCGGGTTTGCCATCCCCCATTCCAGAGTGGAGCCAGGCATTACTCTGCACTGCAGCACTGTCATCCTGTTCGAATTTAGCCTCCACATGCTTTGCTGGAGGGAGATTTCCCCGTGACATCAGTTGCTTAGGTTTTCTCTCCTTCCTTCCCGAGCCAACGGCATGCAGCCCAGTCTTTGCAGCAAGCGGAGGCAGTGCCAGCCGGCAGAGGGAAAGGCCAGCCTCAGTGCAGCATCCCAAACTCTCTGGACAAGTGAGTTTTGCCAGCTCCCAGTGTCTCCTGGGCAACATCTTCCACTACCAAAATCCCTGGTGGAAAAAATCATGGGTCACTGCAAATATTGGTGTTTAAATGGGTCCAGGAGGTGAGTGGTCACAGCCTTGCAAGAAGTGTGATAAATTGTTTATTGTAAACAGGACAATGAAGGGCACAATTTGGGAAGCCCTGTTGCGGAGGAAACCTGTGTGCCTTCCAGGCATGTCATGGGGTACTCTGGCCCTTCCCAACCCTGGGACACCCTACGCCACATGCCTCCGTGCCCTTCTTCCACAGTGCAGGGCAGAGCAGAGACATTTGCCAGTTGCTTTACTTGCTGATGCTTTGCAAGGACCCCATGTTCTTTTGGAGAGTGCAAATCTCACAGAGGAGGAAGCAGCCATGCAAGCGCCTGGCAGTGGGGGAGAAACGCTTCCAAGAGCACACAAGTCCTGCTGGATCCTGTCCCAAGGATGCTGGTTTGCAAAGAAACTTGTCCGGCCTGTATGGCTGGGGCCAGGTTCCCTCCCGTGGCTGAGAGCTGCCACAGCAGGATCCAGCAGCTCTCTGCCATGCTGTGCAAAGTGTGCAAGGGGCAGGCGTCTTGTGCTGAAACCACTTCTCCTGAGACTGGTATCGAAATTAGGTCCCACCTCTTGCCAGTCAATGCCAAGGTCCTCCAAGAGAGCATGCTAATTGCTGTAGACAGTGATGGGATAGTGATTTGGAGCCCTTCTGACAGTAGATGGATCTCTGGGATATTCCTCTTACCCAGGACTGGACCTACTCTTGAGTGGACCGTCATTAAAATGAGGGGATTTTTCTTGTTTGTGTTATGCAAGGTAGGAAACACAGGTTCCTGAACAGAGGACAGTGCAGCGCATTTTTACCCAGCCTGTAGTATATAGATCCCCCAAAGTCTTGGTCATTCCGGACAGGTAAGGGTGGATGGCTCTGTGCTGACACTCACAGTTACTGTGGTGGGACATGAGTAGGCCAAGTGCTGTGGGGGTGTATATATGAGGTGAGTAGCTAGCTCATAATTCACGGATGCTATATGTTACCTGATTTTTGGAACAAGTGCTGCATAAACAGTCAGTGCCACTGAAGCACTCACCAGTGCATGCGTTTGCTGATGTTGTGCAGTCACCAGGCACGCCAGGACCGGGTGGGAAGTCAGCACAATGCCTCGAGATACGTTATCGACTGTAAATGTGGCAGGAAGTCATTAAAGATTTCCTGAGCTATTCCCTGGGAAAAGACTACCTCCAGGCTCCAACAAAGTCAGAGGACTTGTACTGCCAGGGCTGAGAAATCAAAAGAAAAATTGCTCTAATAAGCTGATGTCAGCAGCTTCAGCAGGGAGCCCTCTGCTCCAGACGGATCCTGTGCCCATGGGGTTGGGGTGGTGATGGATGACGAGATTTGGGGGACATTGTAGCCCTCTTGCTCCAGCCAGGCTTGTCCAAGTCTCCCTAAGACTCTGGGGACTGAGTTACAGACATAGACAGGTCTGAATCCTTTGTCTCTGAAGATTTCTACATCCCTGTAGGTGAAAATAAATGGCATCTTATTTTAAGAAAGCTGCTTGGTTGCTCCATGAGCTTTCAGCCACAGCTCCAGGAGGGAGATTGCAGGCACCGAGCTCTCTTGGACCAACTGGGCAAAGACGGTTTCCTGCCATCAGGAGGCAATCAGAGACTGGGACAAGAGTGTGAGCAGTGAGGGAAGCCAAACCAGGCAGGTCAGGGCAAGGAGCCCCAGTGTTTGTAGGGGGGTCATTCAAAAAGACTTGAAGGGGGTTGGCGCATGATTTAACGATGTTACCAGGAATTCATGTGATTCTTCTCACTTGATTTATGGGATAACACTCACTTTTGTTGCTTCAGAGATGTCTTGAAAAACATTTATGTTTTACCAGAAATACATTTCGATCTTTTTTTTTCCCCCCCTGAATCTCACCAGCCAGCCTCTGGTCAAGACTCAAAGGCTGTCTCAGTAGATAAAAGGTCTTGGGGTAATCACTGTGCAAATCTCATTTATGGGCTGCGCTTACAGGCACAAAATGTTTTTTAAAAAATTAACTACTAACTCTGTGAGATTATTTATCTGCTGAAAACCTTATTCTTCTGGGTAAGAACAAAGTCATCATACTATGGCCAAGGGAAAAGAGCCAGATAGTTATATTTCACAGTGTTCATTTTCTCACTGGAAAAGATGAGCAGAGTAAGAGACCTTTCTTCTTAAAACAAAACAAAACAAAAAACCCAACAACAGCTAAAAAAAAAAAGTATGTGAGTTCCAGTTTTGAGTCCCTGCAAAAATCCTACAAGTGAACTTTAAAATCAGGTAGTCTGCTATGTCTAGCAACCACCAGTAGACACTTGGCTCGAAGTCTAATTTTGAGTGCCGAGAGCAGCAGGGACAGAAACGAGTAGCTTGAAACTGCCACTGAACTTGATCAAGATGTGTATGGGGACTTTTCCACTATTTATTTTCTACGTGCTATTTCAGTTTAGGACATTTTTTTTCTTAAATGCAGAGCCTTGCTTGCAAGCCTGCCAAAGGTGATACCACTTTTTACCCTGTTGGATCATTTGCTGGTTATTCTGTAACAAGCATGTGTTATTTCTAACACACATAATACCAGAAATAAGCTGTCTCTCTTTTGAAAATTAACATTTATGGTCAGAATGATTTTTCTTTCCCCACAGTGAACAGTTATAGAATTGTCAGCCCCTAAGCTAGTGTAAGCTGGTCTGCCCCAACTTGAAAATGTTTTGGGATGAGAGCGAGCCATGAAACGTACTTTGTCCTATGTGCTTGGCTGTACGAGTGTAGCATACTGCATAGAAACCAGCAGTCCTTTTTCCTCTCATTGTTGATTAAGGTACCCATTTAAATGGCCTAAAGAGTTTTTCTTATCTCAGACTCGCGGTATGTATCTCACATATATGTCTTTGTTTCTTTTCCCACAGGAGAGAAAGAAAATACAGCTGAGAAACAAAAGCATATTTCTCTAGCAGGATTTCAAGGGTGAAAGCCTACCTGCCTGGACTGCAAGGAGGTGCCCTACGCACAGACAGAAACGTTCCCCAGGACTGGTGACACCATTGTTCAGCTTTGCTCTTGCTGAGAAGGTTTCCACCCAACGCTTCAACAATGAATTTCCTCCGGAGGCGTCTCTCAGACAGTAGTTTCGTGGCAAATTTGCCCAATGGCTACATGATGGACTTGCAGCGCCCTGACAACTCCACAAGCTCCCCGGTTTCTCCTGCCATGGAGAGAAAGCATCCGCAGCCACCACAGCCCTCACACTCTTCCTCTACTGGCACCAGCATCTTCAGCTCCATCTCCAGTGCCATGAAGCAAACCACACAAGCGGCTGCAGGACTAATTGACCACTCGGCCAGCCCCACACCGCCTGTGGCCCAGAAACCCAAGATCCTCCTCGTGATCGATGACGCACACACAGACTGGTAAGTCATCATGGTTCTCCCTGATGAATTCAGCTCCACAAAGTTTGGGGGGTGAGAGGGATCTAGAAAGCAAGGGGCATCTGCAGGGCAATATACAGACACTTTCACATCTATGTCACCAACTCTGGCCCCAGGTTGGTGTCTGTCCAGTGACTTGCATAAATGGCAGGTTTTTCTCATATCTTCCTTGAAAAAAAATATTCATTTGGTACTCATTGGCAAACTTCTTCATAGCCTCAATATATGAGCACACATAGGGCTTAGCTGAGCTGTCACATCTAGCAATGGTCCTAAGAGGTCACAGCTGAAGGTGTGTTAGTGATGTGGTTCAGGACCACAGCCTACTGTTTCTGCTGACCCTAAAAATGAAAAGGGACTCAATCTCTCTAGCTCTTGATCTCTCTTGAGCTTTTCTCTGTATGCAAATTTGCACATAAATTACGAAAAGATAACCCAGGCTTACTAGTACTGATAGTAATGACTGGAGTTCCTCCGCTGGTCAAGAGCCCATCACTCGCTAAGTGTAGCAGCTATTGGCAGAAGGCTCTCAGGCTCAGCTAAGCCTCAAATTTTTCTTGTTCATGCAGGTGTCTGTTTAAAAACAAAAGTTTGGAAGTTTGTTTCCTGTGCTACTGGGCAGCAGAGGACACTTTCCAAAGGGTAGGACAACTGAAGTCTTCTGAAATGTTAGAGAAATTACTTACTGCTCACTGTGAACCCGCTTTCAAAATAGTTTGGTTTAGAAAGGTTTCGGGAAGCTGGATGAGAGACTTATTTGGGGGAAAATCCAGAGCATGTGTTGAGGAGATGCTCTCATTTTGTCTGCCAGCTTGTCACAACACAGAAAAAAGGAAAGGGTGGCACAGGCAAGGGGGCTTCAAAATGAAAGAAGCTGGGTTAACGGGTCTTGGCCAAGGGAGATTATTCTATTGCTCTTTTCATCCCATGCCACTCTTCAGTAAAGTTGTCACCTTTGGTCTTCTCTGCTTTCTCAGGAGAGCGGGGACAAGATGGGACCTGCCTCCCTGAGTGTATCTTCACAAAGTAAAAGCTTAGCTCTTAGCTAAAAAGGGGCAGTGACTGCATACAAGTAGGTCAGGCTTCTTCAGACAAGATCAAGTAAGAGAGGGAAAACAGTGGGATTTTGCTCAGAGGAGAAACAACCATTTAACTGAGTGGGAAAGTCCCTGATAAGGTGGTCGTCATATCAAATATTTCACTGGCCTAGTATCTTTTATCACAGCAGCAGCCTCTCAATGCCAGATAGTTCAGTTGGCAACACCAATCTGGCTCAGCCCTGATTTCTCCTCCCTGGGTGCACCTGCAAGCCTTCCAGAAGGCTGATGCTCACCAACCTCCTTCTCTGCTTGGCGTTTTTGCAGTTCCTTGAAGATGCTGCCAGGTGGCAGTCCCTTAACATAGCATTCTCCAGCTGAGGGTGGGAGCGCCTCTAATGCACAGCTCTAGCATCTGGGGCTGAGCCGGCACTGCTTAGTCCAAACACTGTAATTAGAGAGGAAAGCCCTAGCTCAAAGGCCAATCTAGTTTTTCTTTGAGATTAATGGTGCTGAAGGTAGTCTGGGCAGGGGAAAGGACAAGAAGGGGTTGGACTCTGTTGCGGTGTTTTCATGTTTTAAAATACACACTGCATTTAAATCCCTGCCTTTATATCTCCCAGCTGCTGTTCTGTCATGCAGACTTTGTGGTCTGCAAGCTGAGCTTGCCCAAGGAGCAGCAGCTGGGAGATATAAAGAGGAGGTATGGCTACCCATGCTGTCTTCACTCTTCCACTCGTGTGTAAGCTCTCCGCACATCCTGCTGTCTTGGCTATCCCTCTGCTGTCTAGGACTTCTCAGTTTCTACACATGATGGGGGACCCCTTTCATTCCTCCCAGCTGTCTGCCCCTCTATCCACAGACTTGCAGATATCAAATAATGCTGCTTGCAAAGGCTGCCTTGCCTTCCCTCTCTCTAAGGTTGTGAGGACACTGAACAAAATTAGCGTATGCATTCATGACTGTATCCTGAAAGATATATGACATAAAAACCAAGGAAACATTACTAACCCTTGCCTGCCACAGATTTCCACGGGTCTTTTTAACATGGACAGAAACACATGCCTAGAAAGTTCCCCAGCCTAAAAGTAGCATGTGGTCCTTTCTGAGAGGACGTACCAGTGCAACCACTCCAGTGGGCCAGAAGTGCTTCTTGGCAGTTGGTTTTCATGTCTCCAGGAAACTCAGTGAGCCCTTGAGAGCAGCACTGGAGAGCAGTGGCTCCACAGCTCCATGGATGTTTATTCTTGGTAAGCTACTTCTGAGCCATGCCAGTCATCTTCTTGGTCTCAGCCAAGGTGTTATGTGAGCTCAAGCTGACCAGCCCGAGGCAGCAGTGTTTGCTTTTCGAGAGCACAGCCAAAGGAGCTGGTTATCCAGGGATTCTGGCTATCCACTCTGCATCACATACGGAAACAGCCTCAGACCTTGGATGGTGAACAGCAACCTATATTGTTACTTCTGAGCTGGTGATTTGGGGTTTGGAAGAAGCACCGTGTTTGCAATGCCTTCTGCCTGCTCTGGTTCTTGCTACTTGTGAAACCTTTGTATTTGGTTTTCAATAAACCTTTTACTTCTCCTTTTGAAATAGTTAACTCTACTAGGAAAGATCCCCAAGAAATAACTACTGAAGCACTACCTTTATTTTAGGGTGGGGGGCTCCCACAATGCCTCCTCCCCCAGAGCAACTTACATGGGGTTTAAAACAAGGACTGGCTTGTTCACAGACAGGAAGGGTGAGAGACGGTGGAATCTGCCATTTGATTTCTCTTCTCTAAATAAAAACACTTTCTTATAATTGGAGACTGTAGCAATATTGCAAAGCCAGACACTAATTTATCATCACTGTTTGTGTTACAGCAGAAGCAAAGAGCTGCAATTGTGGGTTAGGATGAGGTGTTGCACAAGTGCATGATGAAATGCTCTAAAAACCCAAATGAGCGAGAGCGCGTTGAATGGAATTTAAAGTGACAAACGGCAATGCTTTCTATTTTTAAAGAGCAGCTATGTCTCTGATGGTACCATATAGCACTCAACTTCTCTCAGAAGCCTGGAGGAAGTGAAGAGCATCCATGGGAATCCATGGCCTGTCTTCCTCCATAAAACCCTTACCACTCTTGGCATGCAATATGCTTTGGTTTATTCCAAAGACAAAATACTATAAAAATAATGTAAGCCCCACAGAATATGATCATCTGCTTTCTGCATTAGCAGCACTAAAAGAAAGGTGCATTCTATTAAAAGCAAGGGAACTCACCCAGCTTTCTGTTAAAGTGGCAACGTTTTGACGCATTTTCCATCCTTCTCCAAGACCCTGCTCTAACGCATTGCAAGGAGCTCACAGTGAATCTGCCACACGCAAGATGTGCACAAGAGGAAGACACCGTCTGTATGGCTCCCCCGTGCTCTTGGCTTTGACAGGCAGCCCTCAGAGGGACCCACAGCAGTGAACGGATCCGTGCATCGGCATGCTAGGGAAAAACTCTTGCTTCTCTTCAGTCATTGATGGTACCTATCTCAGCTAGGTAGCCTCCACCCAGAGAATGAGGCACCTTCTTGTGGGCTGGGAGTATCTGTGCCTTGGGAGACTTCCAAAAATTCATCCAGAACTCACCTACAGCAGCTGCCAGAAAAAAAAAAAGGAGCTCAGACGTGAATACATGCACACACGTGCACGTGCAAACACACAGCAAAAGGGAGCAGGACCATGAGGAAAGGGGATGGCAGGACTCCATGTAATGGCAGATGGGCCAGCTCCAGCAGCCCAACCTCAACCAGGAGGAAAACGTCCCGCCTCTGGCAACTTCTTTGCCTGACGCGCTCTTAAGTAAAATCATGCTCTTGCTGGATTGAATTTCTCAGCAGATCAAGCAGGATTTGGTACTGTTAACCCCCATCCTCTGCAAAAGTGCTCAGCTTGCTAGCCTAAATGTTTCATGTTTAGACAGCTTATTTGGGAAGTGATCAAGCACAGTTAAGGCTCCTATTAATAACATATGTTAAAAACATTGCTTTTTGGACCAGACAGCATAACAAGGTTGTTCTTGTTGCATTTTTTAGATATCTTGGTTGCATTTGTGAAATATCTCATGTCACTTTTCAAAGCCACTGGTGTGTTTTGTCCAAATTTCAGGCCGTTTCAAGTGTCTTGCACAAAATACATGTGCCCCATGTGCCACAGTTCTACACGCAAGGATTGTGCCATGTTTCACAGAAAAAAAAAAAAAAGCCTCAGAGGATATTTTAGGAGACACAAAACAGCATTGTTGTTTTCCCATTTACTTTACAGCCAAATCTGCCTGAACATACTGTGTCCAGAAAGTTAAAGATGAAGGAAGAGAAAAACTGCGGTTGATACAGAATGAAATCCTTTTAATATATCTGAAATTGTTCTTCGTTTAATGATAATGTCATGATTCAGGTCTAATTATGGACTGACCTGACAGGATTACTGTTTTATACTGTTCGGAGGAAATTATCAACCCTTTTTTATCAAAACAAAACTATTTTTACTTCTGATAGTACATGGCAATATTGAGCCTTAAATATGCCATTTGTCAAACAATAACAGTCTAATACTGAATTTTAGTAACATGTGACTTCCTAAATCCTAATTTTTTTGGAAGGAATTCCTTTTCAAAAATATTCAGTGAGTGTCATGAGTCTTTTCATCCTTTCAGTAGGCTGAAGATGATATACTAAGGCTCCCATTCAGAGGAATATTTCTGTACATAAGTCAAATATAATGGGAAGTTTTGGACTAGCTTTTGGCTGTGGACTTCATTATCATTTATCTTTATTGTTATTATTCAGCATTGATACTTCAAGCTTGACCTCAAATTTGCAGGTTAAATTGCAAAGTTTTGTTATTTCCCAATATGAAGCCCAAAATCATCTAACATTGTGGTAACTTACAATAAATGATTATGAATTAGCTTTTATTAT